TGGAGGAATTAAAAACATCCTGGGTGAAACAACCACTGATAATATCATGATAGAAGTTATACTACGTCATGGTTTTAATACAGAGGCCAGTCTTAATGAATTACTGAATCAAACAGGTATAGTAGTCTAGTATTGACTTATTACTGAATCAAACAGGTACAGTAGTCTAGTATTGATTTATTACTGAATCAAACAGGTACAGTGTTCTAGTATTGATTTATTACTGAATTAAACTGGTACAGTGTTCTAGTATTGATTTATTACTGAATCAAACATGTACAGTGTTCTAGTATTGATTTATTACTGAATCAAACAGGTACAGTGTTCTAGTATTGATTTATTACTGAATTAAACTGGTACAGTGTTCTAGTATTGATTTATTACTGAATCAAACAGGTACAGTGTTCTAGTATTGATTTATTACTGAATTAAACTGGTACAGTGTTCTAGTATTGATTTATTACTGAATCAAACAGGTACAGTGTTCTAGTATTGATTTATTACTGAATTAAACTGGTACAGTGTTCTAGTATTGATTTATTACTGAATCAAACAGGTACAGTGTTCTAGTATTGATTTATTACTGAATTAAACAGGTACAGTGTTCTAGTATTGATTTATTACTGAATTAAACAGGTACAGTGTTCTAGTATTGATTTATTACTGAATTAAACTGGTACAGTGTTCTAGTATTGACTTATTACTGAATCAAACAGGTACAGTGTTCTAGTATTGATTTATTACTGAATCAAACAGGTACAGTGTTCTAGTATTGATTTATTACTGAATCAAACAGGTACAGTGTTCTAGTATTGATTTATTACTGAATCAAACAGGTACAGTGTTCTAGTATTGATGTATTACTGAATCAAACAGGTACAGTGTTCTAGTATTGATTTATTACTGAATCATACAGGTACAGTGTTCTAGTATTGATTTATTACTGAATCAAACATGTATAGTGTTCTAGTATTGATTTATTATTGAATCAAACAGGTTCAGTATTTTGTCTTGAGGGAATAGAAAGATAAATGAATAAATCAAGAACTGGTACTAACAATCAAAAGAGCTCTGTTATGCTATTGACATATGGAAGGAAATAATAGAGTGAGAATTTGAATGTGTTTTTAAGTTTAAAACAACTACCTCCACTGGCTAGATACAACACAATGTGTTATTGTTGTATATTTCAGAAGCACCGAAACCTCAGAGACAGCCACGAGAGAGAAGAAATAGATCACAAGGTAGAAAGATCTTCTGGTTATAAAAATATCAAACACCTATATATAAATATAGAGAGAACGCATAGTTTGTCTCTTTTTATTGGAGTTGAGCTAAGTCCATTTTTGGGTCTCTAGTTGAGATACGAAAAGTTACGCCAAATTTACTCCATCATATTGAAAATTTTGGAATCAAGAGATTAGCTAATATATCAGAATGTCTTTAGTTGTTTTCCCCCTGGCTAATAAGTTGCCCTTTTTTTTTTATTTTTCATGGTCCTGTTTCTGCTGAATTGTTATAATTTCCTGCCATTTTCAAATTTTGAATGAAAATTTTTGGCATCTGGAAGGTAAGGAGATGAAAATGAATTTTTCGAATTTTCTGAGAAGAAAAACATTGCCCCAGTTTCCGTTCCGAAAAATCAAATTATTCTCCCCCTCAATAACAATACCATCAAAATCAAAACTGGGACACCCCCTCAAAAATCAATCGACTCCTTGTCTCAATATCTTTCAAAAATGTCGACTCAAAATGACAAAAATCTGGAGATAAAAACAGATTCGAAACAATCTGGAAAGTTAGATTTGAAAAATGTACAGACCATTCCAGTCAATCAAACCTCTGGCTCCTCCCTTTCTGACTTAGCCAATCAGCATCAAAATTCAGGGCTTTCTCTATCTCAGTTGGCCAATCAACATAAAGCTGGCAGGTCATTAGCAGAACTGGCCAATAAAAATACTTCTAATCAAAGTGAGCCGTCTGGGTTGTCATTGGCTGATCTGGCAACACAACATCACAACAAGACAGATTTAAGTTCAACCAATCAAAGTATACCAGCTGGAATATCTCTAGCAGATCTAGCCAATCAACACCAACTTCACAAAAAAGAAAATACATCCAATCAAAGGCAAACTCTTGGATCTTCCTTGGCAGACTTGGCTGTAGAACATAACTCTACACCAATCACCAGCTCTAGCAGCTTTCCATCATCCAATCAGAATAGTTTATCAGGATTCTCATTAGCAGAACTAGCCAATCAACATCAATCAAATCTAGCGTCATCCAATAGAAATGGCAGCAAGAATATGACATTATCAGATTTAGCCAATCAGCATCAAAGGACAGCAGAAGTAACCAATGAAAATAAAGGAAATTCTTCAGGATTTTCATTGGTAGAATTGGCAGCAAATCATGAATCAAGAGTTCAGGGTAGCAGCAGTTTAAAAGACATTCCAAATATGGGATCTAGCCAATCAAATATGACGATGGGCAAACCAGACATTAATTTATGTAAATTGAACAAATCAAATTCATCAGTCAACACACCAAAAATGGTTACTGGTTTTTCATTGGCTGAATTAACCCAGCAGAATATTGGGTGTGGTGAAAATTCTGTGCCTGAGATATCACTGACCTCACTCGCCATCAAAAAACCTTCAAAATCAAAAAAAGAGACATCAAGTGCTAAAAAACTGAAAATTGTTGACAGACAACCGTCGGAAACATACTTTAAAGAAACAGTCTATAACGAGTCAGAGCTATTTATAGAACAAAGTCCTTCATTTTCATTGGATCATACATTAATAAAATTGTCGTCAGGTTTGGGTAAAGTTTTAAGTATGAAATACAGGGTTCGATCTCAAGATAAATCACCATATTGGAAAATATTTCAATACTCAAAACAAGTGAAGTCAACTGTTGCTATGCGAGATATAAAACTTCACGTTATCAAGCGTTTTAATTTCAACACACCCTCACCTGACGATATCGTTAAACAGAGACAGAAGGCTGCATTTACCTGAAATATCAAATATCATATTCAATTGAATTAGTGTCCTAATTCTGACCAGCATTATTCATAGAGTTAAAGTTAATGAGTAATATTTAATCTTTTTTAACTTATAAAGTTACATTAAATATATTAAATTAAATTAAATATTATAGTATTATTGAAGTATTCTCATTGTTTAAAACATCTTATCTCTATAGAGTGGCAGCTATCACTATTTTCTATATTTTATATTAAAACTTCATGTCATTTATCAGTATTTTAAAGGTGCACCAGAATATAAACAACAATATGTATAACTTGGTTAGTCTGCTCAACTAGCCTTATATAAATTTTCTTTCATCTGTTTATCACAATATATTATTATTATTCATACCTAATATTATTTGATCTCAATGACAGCTATCACAAATATTAATTTATATTATTTTTACTTCTTCACATTTTCTATCTAAAAATAAAAGAGGAAAGAAAACATAAAAAACTGACTGTGTACAAATAAACTACCTTGCTTAGCCTCAGTCTCATTTTAGTTCTCTTACTATCTGGACTGTAATCGTTACAAAATTTGTATCATTAATATTATTCTGTAAATTATAAATTGTTGTATATTTTGTTATCATTGATAAATTAAATTTTGTGGATAAAAATCTGGTTTTTAAATGATATAAAAGTGAAAAATTCCAAATAATAAGTTATTGTATATATTTCTATAATACACTGGTATATCACTGTAGCTTCAGACCACCCTATTATCTCATATCAACAGTTTAGACTTTTCCCTACAATATTTAATCTAAGTAAGTCAGAACAAGATATATCTGAGGGAAGAAATTAGCTAAATAAAGAATATAGTTAGTTTTGGAGGTTATGACTTTCATCAGTGATAACTGAACATTAGCAAGTAATATTCTTAATTTCAACTGAAGTCTAGTTGTCTATTCCTGTGTATTGTAGAGGAAGCAGATTTGATTCTAGAAAATTAGAAGGAAGCTGATATTTAGCTCTATAATTTTTAATAATATATATTCAGACAACTATATCAATTTAAAAACTCTTTAATCTTTTATTTTTCTGTTTCAAGAGGTTGGTATTTCAGACAAAGGTCAAGGTCAAGCAAGTAGTGGTATTAATCCTCCGGCCGTTACGTTAAAAAAACCTCCGTCAAGTTCCCACCTTAACGAAGAAAATACAAAACAATTTAAACAAATGACTGTAGTATCGAATAAAGAGGCGAGGAGAGGATTTAGTCCATCTGGTAATAATAGAAAAATAGTTCCCTCAAATACTAGTGTAGTAACTTCTGGAAGTGGTGAATCGGTCAATGGAGGACCAAGTGAATCGAATTTCGTGGAATCAGTGCCATCTAATTCTAGTCTGAATCTAACACCCAAACGACAACCGTCGGATTTCAGACCCCCGCTACCAAAATCAGGGTCAAAGTAAGTATTCAGGTTTTTGGTAAGGTTTGGTTTTCTGTTTAACTTTTTGACCATGGCATCAGAATCTTTCACGGGCGTTCAAACCAATGGCACTCAATTTCCTAGCAGACAACAATTTAACTATTTTCCAATCCAGTTATCTCACTATAACAATCTATTGTTAGAGGGCAGTATTGATGTTTGAAGGAGATATACATATTGTCAGGAGATTTGAAATATAGACTATGTTGAAGGTTAGGGTTAGGGTTGGTGTTAAACCTGTTACTGTTGGAGGCCTGAAACTTTCTCTTTGTGATAGACACTTTGAACTAAGTCTGTCATCCTGATTGTATATTACAGAAGTAAACCTAAGTTTGATATACAGACCGAATATAAAAAACGGAAAGGAGAAAAAGAATTATTAAATTTAGTTGTTATTGGTGAGTTGGACTTGATAAAGATATTTTTTATGGTATATCAGTAAACATTACAATGGTTTGTTTAAAATAACCAGCAAAATACACCCAAAATACTTCCAAAAGTCATCATTGCCTGAAAATTTGTGACTCAAATATCAAAGTTGGTAGGGCAATCTCAAGTCAGGATAACAGGCAATTAGTTCTTGTTTATAATATTAATACTAATAACTAATTAATAACTTTCACTCAACCTAACTAACTATAATTTTAGGTCATGTGGATGCTGGTAAAAGTACATTAATGGGTCATCTTTTATTTCAACTGGGTTCGGTGAATAAACGAACCATGCATAAATACGAACAGGAATCAAAGAAAATTGGTAAAAGTTCGTTTGTTTATGCCTGGGTTTTAGATGAAACAGAGGAAGAAAGGTAGGGAGTTAGTTTAAGATTTTTCAGTTTAGTGTTAAAAGGGAAGGCCATGACATCTGTCCTAGTCCCATTTCTATTTCAACATATCTAGAGGAGTGTCTGAAAGTTTATATCAACTCAACATCATCTCTACATTCTCCACATCCTTTTTTATTATTTTCAGAACTAGATGATTATAAGGAACTGAACACCCCTCCCTATCCTCCTTGTTTTTATATTTGATTATTTTATCTCTACAGATCTAGAGGAGTGACTATGGATGTAGCTCAGACTCGATTTGAAACACCTAAAAAACTTGTGACGTTACTCGATGCTCCGGGACATAAAGATTTTATACCTAATATGATAACAGGTACGTATTAATATTTCTTACTGTTAACTTTCCATCTCTACTGATAGCATCAATTTTTTACTGTTAACTTTCCATTTCTACTGATAGCATCAATTTCTTACTGTTAACTTTCCATCTCTACTGATAGCATCAATTTCTTACTGTTAACTTTCCATCTCTACTGATAGCATCAATTTCTTACTGTTAACTTTCCATTTCTACTGATAGCATCAATTTCTTACTGTTAACTTTCCATCTCTACTGATAGCATCAATTTCTTACTGTTAACTTTCCATTTCTACTGATAGCATCAATTTCTTACTGTTAACTTTCCATCTCTACTGATAGCATCAATTTCTTACTGTTAACTTTCCATCTCTACTGATAGCATCAATTTCTTACTGTTAACTTTCCATCTCTACTGATAGCATCAATTTCTTACTGTTAACTTTCCATTTCTACTGATAGCATCAATTTCTTACTGTTAACTTTCCATCTCTACTGATAGCATCAATTTCTTACTGTTAACTTTCCATCTCTACTGATAGCATCAATTTCTTACTGTTAATAGAATGGTGAAGAGGTTTTATTTACTTTCCATGTATCAGGGACACTGTTAGCATCAATTTGTACCATTTTGATTTTCAGTCAGACATCTCTGGTTCCTGCAATTCCATCAAAACTATGTGTAGATGACGTCAATATTGCGTAAGGCCTTATTTGATATAAGCAGATTTTACAATTGTAACGTGCATTAATACCATCGATTTTTTTATCTTACTTTGTTCTAGCAATCCTGATGTTAGTTATTATATCTGAAACTCAAATCAACAACTAGTCATGAATGTTTGTCAAGTAAAATCTTATCTGTATATAAATTAGATTATAAAAACAAGACAAGTGATATTAATATCTTACAGAAGAACTTGTTTTTATAAAGAAAAGTCAATGTATTTAGATGTCATTATATTTGTAATATAAATGTTATTATAATTATAGGTGCTGCCCAGGCCGATGTAGCTATACTAGTGATAAACGCTACACGAGGTGAATTTGAGACAGGATTTGATACTGGAGGTCAAACTAGAGAACACGCTCTATTAGCTAGATCTTTAGGTAAGATTGACATAATTAATATTGATTAATAGTTTTGAGACAGTGGAATTTGTTAAATTAACCACTGGCAGTAAAACATTAACTGATCACAACATTTTTACTGACAAATATCTGAAAGTTTGTTGTAACAAACCTGTCTCACACAGAATAATTCTGGTTTTTTATAATTTTGTTCAGACTGATATATTAATTGTATATTTTAGGTGTATCTCAGATTATCGTAGCAGTTAATAAAATGGATACTGTAGAATGGAGTGAAGAGAGATATAAACATATTATAACAACGATAGGACAGTTTTTAAAACAGGCTGGTTATCGGGAGAGAGATGTATCGTTTATACCTTGTAGTGGACTAGTGGGGGTTAATTTAACAGATTCTATCAAAGATCCTGCTTTATCAGTCTGGTATACTGGTCCAACTTTAATCAAACAGATAGGTAAGATAAGGTATTACAGGTGAAACACCAAGTTGACTCCAGGAAACACTGGCATAGGCATCAGAATTGTTCTTACCTTGAGGAGGATTTGAAACCACGGCACCTAATCACCTAGCAGATGACAATCTAACTCGCTACCGACTGAGCTATTACACTGTCCTAACAGACAACAATCTAACTCTCTACCGACTGAGCTATTCCACTGTCCTAGCAGACAACAATCTAACTCACTACTGACTGAGCTATTCCACTGTCCTAGCAGACAACAATCTAACTCGCTACCGACTGAGCTATTCCACTGTCCTAGCAGACAACAATCTAACTCGCTACCGACTGAGCTATTCCACTGTCCTAGCAGACAACAATCTAACTCACTACTGACTGAGCTATTACACTGTCCTAGCAGACAACAATCTAACTCGCTACCGACTGAGTTATTCCACTGTCCTAGCAGACAACAATCCAACTCTCTACTGACTGAGTTATTCCACTGTCCTAGGAGATGAGAATCCAACTCGCTACTGACTGAGTTATTCCACTGTCCTAGGAGATGAGAATCCAACTCGCTACTGACTGAGTTATTCCACTGTCCTAGGACTGAGCTTATCCACTGTCCTAGGAGATAAGAATCCAACTCGCTACCGACTGAGTTATTCCACTGTCCTAGGAGATGAGAATCCAACTCGCTACTGACTGAGTTATTCCACTGTCCTAGCAGACAACAATCCAACTCTCTACTGACTGAGCTATTCCACTGTCCTAGCAGACAACAATCTAACTCGCTACCGACTGAGCTATTCCACTGTCCTAGCAGACAACAATCTAACTCGCTACCGACTGAGCTATTCCACTGTCCTAGCAGTCAACAATCTAACTCACTACCGACTGAGCTATTCCACTGTCCTAGCAGACAACAATCTAACTCACTACCGACTGAGCTATTCCACTGTCCTAGGAGATGAGAATCCAACTCGCTACTGACTGAGTTATTCCACTGTCCTAGCAGATGACAATCTAACTCGCTACCGACTGAGTTATTCCACTGTCCTAGGACTGAGCTAATCCACTGCCTTTAAAAGACAGCGTTAGAGAGAAGTATTGATGTTTATGAAACTATCAACAGTATTGAATATTCACTGTTTAAAATAGTTTTCAGAATTTATCAAGAAACCAAAACTTGGTGAAAAAAAAAAGTTTTATATTTGGAATAATGATCTTGTTATTTTTCAGATGAGTTTAAATGTTTAGACAGACCAATAGATAAACCATTTAGACTGAATGTTGGTGATATATTTAAAAGTTTAATGGGAGGGTTTACTATATCAGGTCGTATTGGTGCTGGGTGTGTTCAGGCTGGAGATAAAGTTTTAGTTTTACCTCATGGTAGTATGGCTAGTGTTAAATGTTAGTATTATTTCTGTTTGTTGATAATATTGAAGACTATTGTCCTTTCTTTATCATCAAATTGTCTACTAGTTGGTCGTTGATAAAACATGTCAATAAAATCATCGTTACAGGGACATTTTAACAAGGTGGATAATTCTTCTGAAGAGTTACTTGTACTGGATCAGTGGAATAGTAAAATATCATGAGAATTCTTTCTGTTTTACTCTTATTGTATCACAAACTCTTCAACAGTATAGTGTTATTGATTAATTATTCACAGATAGAGAATTGTATTAGATGAATATCCTGACTTATATATTATATATTACAGCTGTATTGATAGATGAATATTCTGACTTATATATTTTATATTTCAGCTGTATTGATAGATGAATATTCTGACTTATATATTATATATTACAGCTGTATTGATAGATGAATATTCTGACTTATATATTATATATTACAGCTGTATTGATAGATGAATATCCTGACTTATATATTATATATTACAGCTGTATTGATAGATGAATATTCTGACTTATATATTTTATATTACAGCTGTATTGATAGATGAATATTCTGACTTATATATTATATATTACAGCTGTATTGATAGATGAATATTCTGACTTGTATATTATATATTACATATATATTATATATTACAGCTGTATTGATAGATGAATATCCTGACTTATATATTATATATTACAGCTGTATTGATAGATGAATATTCTGACTTATATATTATATATTACAGCTGTATTGATAGATGAATATTCTGACTTATATATTTTATATTTCAGCTGTATTGATAGATGAATATCCTGACTTATATATTATATATTACAGCTGTATTGATAGATGAATATCCTGACATATATATTATATATTACAGCTGTATTGATAGATGAATATCCTGACATATATATTATATATTTCAGCTGTATTGATAGATGAATATCCTGACATATATATTATATATTTCAGCTGTATTGATAGATGAATATTCTGACTTATATATTATATATTTCAGCTGTATTGATAGATGAATATTCTGACTTATATATTATATATTACAGCTGTATTGATAGATGAATATTCTGACTTATATATTATATATTACAGCTGTATTGATAGATGAATATTCTGACTTATATATAATATATTACAGCTGTATTGATAGATGAATATTCTGACTTATATATTATATATTTCAGCTGTATTGATAGATGAATATTCTGACTTATATATTTTATATTACAGCTGTATTGATAGATGAATATTCTGACATATATATTATATATTTCAGCTGTATTGATATATGAATATTCTGACTTATATATTTTATATTTCAGCTGTATTGATAGATGAATTCAGCTGTATTGATAGATGAATATCCTGACTTATATATTATATATTACAGCTGTATTGATAGATGAATATTCTGACTTATATATTATATATTACAGCTGTATTGATAGATGAATATTCTGACTTATATATTATATATTTCAGCTGTATTGATAGATGAATATTCAACTAATGTGGGGTTTGCTGGAGATAACGTCACTCTGTCTATAGTTGGTGTTGAAATGGCTCACATTAATATTGGTACGCACTTTTTCAAATTACCTTTCTTAGCATTAATCATTCTCTTGTGAGGTACTTCATTGTTCCAACAGGAGAAAAAAATTATCTTTTTATCAGCCTAGAATAATAGAGAACAGTAAAATATCAGAGTTATACTGAATAATAAACTTCATGTGGCTGTATAATATTATATATATATGTTTATTTTTAAATGACAATATTATGATATTATGATATATTATGTTAGTATAGACATTAGAGAAAACCAGTGTTAAATGGAAACAAAAAAAAAAGCAGATTAACCACAGAACTTGTAACTACCAATGTCTATTTATTTTACCCTTATTAATTATTTTTATGCTAAAATTTCTCCGGCCCAAAACTAAATATTTATGTTGATAATTTCCAGAAGTTATTTTTATTTTACTATAACAGGAAGTATGTTATGTGATCCTCTCTCTCCGTCGAAGTGTGCCATGAAAATTCTGGCTAAGATTGTGATATTTAATTTAGAAGTTCCAATAACTCGTGGTTTCCCAGTAAGTTGTTGTTTTATTCCAATATAGTGTTTTTTGTTGCAATCCAGACTAATTTTATCATAGAATAATATATTTGAGACTAAATCATATTGATTATAGAAACAACAGATTGTATGTAGCCTGAAGATTGTTAAATATGGTCTGAGAAACGAATAATAAATTTTATTTGGTCTTCTATTATAGAAATGACATAGTGCATCAAAGATGAAGTCTGAAAATTTGTAATATTATTTTACAGGTTGTGTTTCATTATTTATCTGTTAACGAACCTGCTGTAATTAAACGATTAGTCAGTCAATTAAACAAATCAACTGGTGACATCGTTAAAAATAAACCCAAGTAAGAAATTCTTTCTGTGTATATTTTCATTATAAATTGGACCACATTAATCAGATGATCAGAATACACTATTTGATTTTATTTGATATATCTAAATTAAAATCTATTGAGGTAAAAATATCATTAAGTTGGACGTGATGGTGGATTATTGAACTATTCACTAGTTTATAACTAATATTATATGTCTAGATGCCTGGTGAAAAATACAAGTGCTGTAGTAGAGATAGAGTTTGATAGACCAACATGTTTAGAGTTATATAAAGATTTTAAAGATCTAGGAAGGTTCATGTTACGTAATAATGGTCACACGATAGCAGCCGGTCTGGTAGAGGAGGTAAGTAATATACTATAACTAATCTGGGTAGGAAAGTTTGTCTTCCCCTGATAGTGATGCATTCCAGAGAGACTGATATAGATAATAAAACATCCAGTCATTAGAATGGAACAATAGACAGAGTCCCAAACAGTTTGAAGATCCCTCTACAGGAAATCTGATCAATATTAAATCTAATTTTATTATCCAATGAAATTACTGTATTTATTTCAAGTTACAAGTTTCTGTGTAATACTGTCCTCTCTATAGATTCATTATATCTACTAGTGGGTTAGCATAAATTATGGTAAATAATATTGGGTTTTACTACAGAATTTAACCGAAATGGTCCTGAAGAATTTGTTATTTTAAACTTTTTTTTTCAGATTCTGCAATCAAAAGTAAAAATGGATGAATGAAGACTCATATTTAAAACATTTTAATGAAATATCTCCCTACTAGTTCTTGTTAATTTCTGTGAAATTAGGTGGTGCAGGGTTTGAATCCTTAAAAAAACTCTTGGCCAGTGCTTTCAGTGTTTTTTTCTGGTTATTACAAGAGGATGTGCTTCCATTGTCAATCAACTAATAATGATAGAAGAATCAATCACATGAAGTAAATAAAATTGGACATTATGTTATTATTTTAAACTTCTGTCTATGTTAGTAATGATTAATACAATCTTCTATATAATTTATTGTTAATTGTAAAATTATGTTAAACTATTTACTATCCTATTAACTTTCAAGTTTAAGGTTTTTTTTTCTTGATTTTGTGAACAGAAATACTTTAAAACTATTTCTGAAGGTTATGGTGAACTTTATGTGTAAAAATGATGGATAGAAAAACCCAGGGGGTGATAACCTAATCAATTTAACTTGTTTCTTGAAGTAATCTGGTTATAACACCATTATTTGATTATGACAAGAGAACCATCGTCAAAACATGGCAGTTTTAAATACAGTACTAATTATTAGATAAAATATTGATATAGTTGTGGATTTCTGATCTTATACCATTGTAATATAGGTTAACCTCTTGAAGCCTCTAATCTTTTCTCCTTCAAAACATAGTGTAGAAAACTCCATTCATTTCATTTCCTTTCTTCTCCTTCAAAACATTCTCTCCTAGAAGTGGGTTGACTGTAAATTGATTTTATATGAAAATTTTATTATTTAATTCTCTTCAAAACCACCAGAAGAATTAGAATTTCCTTACCAGATAGTCAAGACCTGTCATAGTTTCATACTCTTTAAATGAATCAATTGATAATGAAATTTGTTTTGTTTGTGATTATTGTACTTATTGACTTTGTTTTTATTTGTTTTGTTCAGGAAATAATTAACCCTTTCAACCTGATCAACGTCATCCGCTGTAAGTTAGATTACTTGGAGTTCAGGGTATATGACGTTTTATTTCATTTACACTCAGTGTTTAAAAGGTTAACAGAATATGAGAGGATTAAGAGTGTTATGTAGATACAAACTAGTAAAATTGTCAAGGATGTGGGCATGAGTTAGGGCCAGTGGCTCAACTAAAAGAGTGTATTTCTATTGTAGATTTGGTTCAACCAGTCTCTATTGTAGATGAGTCATTGGCTAGGGTCTTCATGTATATTATGATTATAGTCTGATATTGAATATGCATTTTTGCTAAATTTTATGGGTGTTTATCATTCGGAGAAACGAAAACCTTCCTTTATTGATACTTAGACACATCTCAAGTTCCAAACACAATCAGTCCAGGTTACTTTTAGGTAGAATAAATAGTAATTGATACTATTCAAACAAAACTTACATTGTGTTGATTACTATACCTATACTATAAGAAGTCTGTTTACATTTTGTATTGTCTGAGGATGTACACAAATATCTTTTCTCTACTTTTGTTTTCTATGAAGAAGAATTATACCGGCTCTGATATACTTGATGATATTGAATAAACCCTGCTTGTAATAAATTGTACTATATCTATTCTTCTCATTTTAGACGGGTAGTTTAACATCCTCTATTTCAAAGCATCTTATGAGCTAGGAAAGAAAGGCAATACCTTGCAGTGTGCAATAAAGGGAATCATTTCCAAAAGTCAGTCGTAGGAAAGCAGTCTGGCAAAAATATCTTTGTTTTGTCACCTTGTAACATCTGGCCTTTCTGTCCAATCCAATTTAAAATAATCAAAAAACAAGATATACAGCCTGAGACTTATATTAACATTATTTATTATGACTTGAGTGACTTCCCCTGGACCATTTTATTTACATTATCAACAACATGATCATATATATCAACAACATGATCAATATATATATCAACAACATTATCATTATATATATATCAACAACATTATCAATATATATCAACAACATTATCAATTTATATATCAACAACATTATCAATTTATATATCAACAACATTATCAATTTATATATCAACAACATTATCAATTTATATATCAACAACATTATCAATATATATCAACAACATTATCAATTTATATATCAACATTATCAATTTATATATCAACAACATTATCAATTTATATATCAACAACATTATGAATTTATATATCAACAACATTATCAATATATATCAACAACATTATCAATTTATATATCAACAACATTATCAATATATATCAACAACATTATCAATTTATATATCAACAACATTATCAATTTATATATCAACAACATTATCAATTTATATATCAACAACATTATCAATTTATATATCAACAACATTATCAATTTATATATCAACAACATTATCAATATATATATCAACAACATTATCAAGTTGCATGATCAATTTATATATCAACAACATGATCATATATATCAACAACATGATCAATATATATATCAACAACATTATCAATATAAATATATATCAACAACATTATCAATATATATCAACAACATTATCAATTTATATATCAACAACATTATCAATATATATCAACAACATTATCAATTTATATATCAACAACATTATCAATTTATATATCAAGTTGCATGATCAATTTCTATATCAACAACATTATCAATTTATATATCAACAACATTATCAATTTATATATCAACATGATCAATTTATATATCAACAACATGATCAATTTATATATCAACAACATTATCAATTTGTATCAACAACAATTTATTTTCACAATGTCAAGGGCGAATTAGGCTTTGAAATCCTCGGACATCACTTAGATCAATTTTGTCTACCATAATTTGTAATTTTAAATGAAGTTTGGATCTAAAGGACGTGTGTTTAATATGTGACATATTACTATGAGAGCCAACAATATTCCTTGTGTTATTTAAAAATTCCTTGTTATTATAAAGATGGAACCAACCCTTGACAATGTGATGATGTTTTCAGATAGAAATATATATTTTATTTACAACTAATTAATCATTTCTAGTAAATAACCAGACAATGGACACAAGACCAAGAAATACATACAGAAACTGTCAACAATTCTCACATGATACACCGTTTTCCTCTATCACCTATTTGTGTACGTAAAATGACCATGAAAGATGACCATAGACATGAATAGTCTGGGTGTCTGAGACTAACTGCTAATATATTTCTTTATACACTTATCAATATTTTAATGAATTTTTAAAGGTCCTTCTTATGAAGTGTTAATGCTTTAAATGTTTACAAATTGATAAGATAAACTGTTATAATTTAGACATGATTAATAGGAGAGATATTTAAATATAGTTTGTACTAAACAGAAACTTTCATATCTTACAGGTTTCAATCAGAAAATAACCATATATAAACTTTATACAACAACCCTTAACATTTACAAAACAACTTGAATTGTGCCATTTTGAGCAAAATGCTAACAATGAAAGAGGAATTCCTGCCACCTGATAATGATTCTACTTAATGTACAATTGTACAGTATGATTCATACTGCCATCAAAATATCTTTTTAAAGCTATGATAAGGCTTGTTAAAATTTCATGCTTGTCCTAAATCATTTTGGTTTGAAGCGAATTTGGCTTGAAAGAAAAATAATCTGCATGAATTAGTACCATGTTTATTCCTGAATTTGAGGAAGTCGTATTTATAAACAGAATAATCAATGATCATTTAATTAATTATTTTCTGGTTTAATTCTCCCGAAATAAAAATGAATATTTTTATCAATAAAGAATACTTTCAATGGATAAATCAAATGATTTGTTTATCCGTGATTCAATCATTGGAAATCAAAACTGTGAAGAATGATAAACCTGATTGATAATAATTTTCATGATGAAACTGAATAATTTTCATGATGAAACTGAATAATTTTCATGATGAAACTGAATATTTTTCATGATGAAACTGAATAATTTTCACGATGAAACTGAATAATTTTCACGATGAAACTGAATAATTTTCATGATGAAACTGAATAATTTAAACTGAATAATTTTCATAATGAAACTGAATAATTTTCACGATGAAACTGAATAATTTTCACGATGAAACTGAACAATTTTCATGATGAAACTGAACAATTTTCACGATGAAACTGAATAATTTTCATGATGAAACTGAATAATTTTCATAATGAAACTGAATAATTTTCATAATGAAACTGAATAATTTTCACGATGAAACTGAATAATTTTCATGATAAAACTGAATAATTTTCACGATGAAACTGAATAATTTTCATGATGAAACTGAATAATTTTCATGATAAAACTGAATAATTTTCACGATGAAACTGAATAATTCTCATGATGAAACTGAATAATTTCCAAGATGAGTAAATTTCAATGAATAAATGAATAATATGAGACAGATAGCAGTGAACAAAATGAAACTAATTTGAAGATAAAGACAAGCCAGGCCAATATATTTTATTTTTACAGTGAAGCTTGGTAACAATCATTCTATTCAAATATTCTGATCATTATCATAGGCTGAATCTATAACCTATACAATCAGGGTTAGTTAAAGTTTCTATTCAGTGAAAACTAATTCGTTACCATCACCAACTTACCATGATATAAAATATTATAAATATTGGTCTGGCCGTCTTTAACCTAGACAGAATAAAACTAAATCTGTATGAATATATAGATAGTTATATAGATAGATAGAACGTCACCGAGTCAATAGAAATATCATTGGGACGGAAAGATGAAGTCAGGTGTCAGACAGAGAAAAGTTGTATAGTTAGTAGGGGACAAGTATTTTGATAGAGAATAACATGGTATCCTACCATTAATAAAATAAATTGTTGTCAAAGCTGAGCTGTAATTTAGATTTACCATCGTATTCAAACTATATTTATCAATTTTTCTTGGCTTTCACTCATACACATTACTGTCTTTAATAAACAAAGTTTTTTCTGTTGTAAATATCCTATTATTTAAATCTTGAATATGTTTGATATATATATATAATTTAAACTGTTATTTCTGTCTGACAACCTAGTTAGTGGCACCCTGTGTTTAAATTTAAAATATACCATCTTTATGACAATTAAAATCAAAATAAATATCCGAATTTATCAGAGTCAAATAAGGCCAGTGATATAATATAATTAACATGAGATGGGGAGTCTTTTAAATATTTACTCCACAAGCTAATAGAAGTCTCCTTTAACTATCCTTAACACTTTTCAGAGTTGAAACCAAATATTTAGTTCTCCTACGATTCAACAAATAACAAACTTTACCAATTTAGATTGTTACATTCAATTAATGAACATTCTGCTGTGAATTAATAACCAATATACTGACGTTACTGGTAATGACTATTTTGATGAGACCCATCTGTCGTATTTCAATTCTGAAAAGTGACACAGATGGCTGAATTTGACCTCCATCACCTGGTAAAGTAAATATTTAAATACTATACCTTCTCAAAATCAGTAAATGAATACAAAAATATTTCAAGTTAAATTAATCAATGATATTTAATGCTTGATGATAATCGAGGTCTATATATACAACATATCTCAGACTAATTTTCAGATAGATATAGAACATCATATGTTTGGCTCTTGGATGATTTTTGCTGCAACTGGCGGTAGCTCAAGATGAGTGAACTGGCCACAATATCCATCTTCACCACGTCAAGTTATTACAAACTTCATCTTATACCTTGACTACAATGGCTCTACTCATGTATAACAGCAGTGATTTGATTGGATTGTACACCAGAAAGGTGGTATAAGTATGAAGTTTGTAATCTCTTGTCATTATGAACATGCTGAATATCAGACAAGAAAGTCGGAAGAGGAAGACTTCAGAGGTAATAAAATAATTTTAAAGATAAAAATAACATGGAATCCCTGTGAAATAATTAGAATCACAAGAAATTAATCCACTATCATTTCATAATTAATCAGTTAACAACAAAAAACTCAAAATATTGTTTCAAAACTATAATACAATAAACAATAAACAATTGTTAGAAATTAGAGTCAGAGTTGTGTAGCAATACAGGGTTCAATTCAATTGATAACGTATCCCAGTTTGTCAATTAATTAATGATTTAGACAAAATTAAAATTTATCACAATGATCTGTGAATCAAATCAAATTGTTCATAAAATTCTTCTACAAAATTTATAGAAGAAACAGCAAATCTTAAAGGTCTCAAAAACCTTCAGAAACTAACGTCATTGACAAGATCCATCTGAATCTATAACATTTTAAATTTCTATTCATTTTTTATGAATTGTGAATGAAAATTTAACTTGATTCGTCGAAACTAAAATCTGGTGTGATAAAATGCTAATCAAATTCTTTGATTGTAACTGAACCCTGTCACTATGTCCATAACTCACAAGACATCTGATTGGCTGATCATGTCTCCAATCAGATCAACCAATCAGAGCTCATGTTTCTGTGGTTATGTTGGTTGGCCTGTTTTTGACAACAGATGAACATTCCCCAAAATATCTTTAATTAATTAATTAATATCAAGAAATTAACAGGTAAAAATTACATAATAAAATTAAGAGTAAGATTTATTCAGAGATCTGAACCTGACCTAGTTTCAATCTAATAATATATGAAATATATATATATAGCCTATTAAACAATCAATGCTCTTTAACAAATATTCTCTAATTCAATGAGGATCATATCTGTTTTCTCTTCCATATTTCACATTTCTATAGAAAAATAATTTATTTTATTATTTAAGAAAATATGGAAGAGAAAATAAAATAAAATAATATGTTTATAATTATTCAAATAATGTTTAGTCAATCCACTCCATCTAGTTACATTGTTCTGTATATTTCTCACAGAGCTCAGAGACTAGGACAGAAACTCGCTAACACTGGCCTTGGATAGCTTTTAAGATGTTGAGCCTACCATCACTAGTTCTAAAGGATATATATATAATATAACTTCTACCCACTGAGTGACCTCTGTTTGCCCAGCTCTGTACCTCTCAATCTAGGTCAAACAATGTTACTTTCCAATCTTTTGTTTTCTGATATTTAATTCTACATTCAGATAGCATACCACTCTATTCAGCTCTACCCTGCCATGAACCACTCCACTCAGCTCTACCCTGCCCTGAACCACTCAGCTCTACCCTGCCCTGAACCACTCTACTCATCTGTACCCTGTCCTGAACCACTCTTCTCAGCTCTACCCTGCCCTGAACCACTCTACTCAGCTCTACCCTGCCCTGAACCACTACAATGTTATAGAAGGAGCTTCATATGACTTGTGTTGTCTCTCTCTCAATCTAACAGAGATTTCTCATTCTTTTATTAATTTAGTTTCACATCCTCTCATTGATAAACCTGTTATTCTATAAACAATAGTTAGTATTAATAACTAGATTCTGTGAAAAAATACAGTGATTTTTTATATATTTTCAAATCTCAAATCATACATTACGCAATATTCTGAAATATCCAATTAACATTAGCTTTCATATCCTTTACTGGACGACATCTGTTAATTAAGAGATAAGATAAAGGGTATATAGGAGTGAATTAATCATTGATTGGTATTTATATATTTATTGAAGATACAATAACTAATAATAATAATATAATTAGTATTTTATCCTGATATTTGTATATCACCTAGACTTATTACAAAATACTTTCACTAGACCAATAAAACTTATGATACAGATTCTTAATTATCACCCAGCCTTATTACATAATACCCTTTCTTCAATAAACTAATATCAAATATCAACTGTAAGTTATGGTGATAGAATTCATGATTGATTCAATGACAAGAATAATGGAATAGTTTATATCTATTTGCATAAAATATAAAAATACTTCTAATTTTCTCTTCGAGCTTTTTTCTTCTTAGTTTTAGGAGCATCTTGCCAAGTGGCTGAAAGTAGAGAGACATAAAACAATATCAGTAAGGGTTGAAAAGGAGTTTTCTATTTTTCAGGAATGAAATTTTTTAGCTAAGTCAGTCAGTAATATTGTTTACAGTTCACTGTTAAAATTTAAGCTCCAAATCCAG